TCCCCTCGTCTTTATGCATGGAACGGGCCAGACTGCGACAAACTTTCTCGATACACCAGACGGTCGAACAGGTTGGGCCTCTTTCTTTCTATCGTACGGGTACACCATTTACCTCAGCGATCAGCCATCCCGCGGTCGCTCCCCATGGCTTCCCACTACTGGAACAATGGCAAGCTCCAGCACAAGCCTGATCGAACAACTCTTCACCTCACCCTCATCCCACAAAATTTGGCCCCAGTCAAAGTTGCATACCCAATGGCCAGGAGCGGGGAAGGTAGGTGATCCTATCTTCGACGCCTTTTATGCAAGTCAGGTTCAATACCAAGCCGACAACATCATCTCCGAAGAAGAGAATGCGAAAGCGTATACTGCACTCCTCGACAAGGTTGGTCCAGCCCACGTCATTGCGCACAGCCAGGCTGGTGCTTATGGATGGCGTGTTGGAGATTTGCGACCGCAGCTCGTGAAAAGTATCGTCGCGCTCGAACCTGCTGGACCGCCCTTCATTGGCCGCATTTTCGGTTCGGGCCCCGCACGGTGAGTGTGCCTGTGTGGACTGCATATGAAGTATACTGACTTCGCTCGCCCACATCTAGGCCGTATGGTATCAGCGAGCTGGAAGTCGCGTATGAACCGTCTGCAGGGCCCAATGCGACGTACATTCAGACTGTAGTCCTGCCAGCGAAGGATGCCAACCACAGCGAGTGCATCATGCAAGACGAACCGGCGAAGCAGTTGGTGAATCTAGCGCAGATACCTGTGCTGACTGTGACTTCGGAGGCGAGCTATCACGCCATGTACGACCATTGTACTGTGGACTACTTGAGACAGGCGGGTGTAGAGGTGGAGCATCTGAAGTTGGGCGAAGAAGGGATCCATGGTAATGGGCATATGTTCTTCATGGAGAAGAATAGCTTGGAGATCGCGGAAAGAGTAGTGGATTGGCTTCGAAAGCACTGAATGCATTTGTTGCATTGTTCATGACTTATGCTCATACGCAATACAACTTGTACGCACAGAGAGTAAATTAGATGCAGAATAGCTATAGAAGATAGAATTGAAGTTATCTTCTACAAGAATATGAATTTATGCAAGACTATGTTGGATAGCTTACTAGAATCCTTAGATGTTAGGATATTCTACTCGGTAACCTCCTGATTCCAATGCTACTGCAAACCACTTTCTCCTGCTATCTACTTATTCGCGCTCGATACAAGACTAGTCTACCTCTAGTAGAACCCAGAAACCTCTTGGACATGACCTAAAGGAGGATCGCGCGGAAGCAGGCATAGCACTAAGCCTCTTCTGCAGGAGCAAGGTACTGGTCAAACTTGCTAGGCATATCCGCAGTAACAGTGCCATTAGACGCAAACTCGATGCTAGAAGTGAGAGCATGGTTAGTTATGTATTATAATATTAGTGAGGCATATCTCATCAAGGTTGTATCTTACTGTCAACGAGTTAGTTTTGGATGGACAATCTGCTTGTAAACTCACCATCTCTGCAACAATCGTATCTTCGATGCCAGTAACAGCGTACTCTTGTCCGTCAATCAGATGTACACGATCTGGTCCAACGCAGCTTTGCTTGGTTTCATTGGCATTCTCAAGATCGTTGCTGTCGTTATGTTCGGATCTCTTCGTAGGCTCGAAGCTGTAGCCTGCGCCTCGATATCTGATTTCTCCCTTGGCCGAGCCATGGCACACTTGGTCATTGCCATTCGAGTGGAAATCTTGGAGCTTTGTATTGCTTGGACAGCTGAGGGCGCTATATGATCTGGTAATGATATGCCACGTCTTAGGGATGGCTACGAATTGCATGGCCGCCAATGAAGTGCTCGAGCTATAGCACGTGTCTGCTTTGACACCTCTCCACGATACCACAATGGTGTCACTGTTTTTACAATGCTCGGCAACGTAGGTGCTTCCACCAAATCCGAGGATGTCGATGGCGGAACTCGTTGCTGCCAGGGCAAGAAGGATGATGGGATATTGCATTCTGAAAGCGGTTGACAATTCTCTCGGCGCTGAATCAGGGGAATGAAGGTGGCACAATTGATGAAAACAGAAACTTGTCTGGAGAACGCTTGGGTTCTTATACGTGTGCGGTGGTGATTACCGCTCGGCGTGCCTAATTTGACGTTTACCCCATTAGGAAACGAAGAGGATCAAATGAGAAGAACATATCCTACAGCCTAAAACCAGATGCTTTTGAGTTGCGTCATACAGTCAGCAATGCGAAGGATAGCATACGCCTTCCAGACGAAGTCATGCCTGTACGAAGCAGTAACGCATGTCCTTTTTGTATCATCGAAGCGAACTTCCCCTTTGGGCGTTATATAGCTCCCGGGCGTTGTACTTATATGACTCTCAGGCGTTTTTTGGCTGTTAGGCCTTACTCAGCGCTCGGGCGTTAATTATCTCTTGGGCGTTTCTTAGTACCGGGGGTTAGGTACTACATTGGTTGTGCGTCAGATGACCACCAATGCCTTTTTGTCACGAGTAACCAAACGACCTCCTCCCTCAATAATAAGTCGGGGCTGGACGCTAACCAACGACTACGTTAACAGGTAATAATTTTCGCGGGGCGATAGTTACGTAATCAGGATCTCGCTAAGAATAACAAAACAGCTTCCAGACCTTCCTGAAGAGAGGCCTCGCCGGTTTGGGACTTACTTGCGCAGCGCTTCCGAAGAGCGAGTGACTAAAGAACGTTTCGCGCGATCTGTCACAGACTGGGTAGCCTGCAATCCATCTGAGCCAATCGTGGGTGACATCTCTGATGAAGTTCCGTTAAGTGATACCAGAAAAGAAGTAGCAACCATCTGCGAGAACCATTACAGCTATGATAGAATACTGCTTACATCTCTGGTTAAGAGCGCTTCTCGGCATCCGCTCTACGAAGCAGACGAACCACAATCTTGTCCGTTCGAATTGGATGACTCGGAACTATTCTTTGACTCTAAGCATATACAGCGTGTCCTGGATGTCCCTCTTCTGTGGGAGCTTAAGAGAAAGGATGTAAATCCAGCAACCATTGTAACAGCGCATATGCTTCTCGAGAGTGGTCGTAGCTTCGTCCACGAATTCGAGAAGATAGGAAAAACCCCGCTCAACTGTCGGATCATCGTTTTAAGACGCGCTAACGAGGTCCTTAACGCGATCAATGATCTAAAACGAGGACGAGCCTTCCAAGGATTAACTGTAAAGCTCCTGGAGACACTTACCGACAAGCTGCACGTATTCATCTCCGACAAAACTTTCGATCTCTATTCTCAGCCTCCCTGGGTTGCAGGAAGCCAGATGTCTGGTATATCAGACCTTTCGCTTTTCATTGGACTCGAGATCCTAAGCGAAGGGGACTGCCTCGGGGCCGTTATACATCTCTATAACATGTTGCAGCAGATCCTGAACGAATATGCGGAAATACCGATACTAGAACATCTGAAGACTCTTTTCAGGTCGAACATCTTTGCATGCAACCAGGAGCCGCGTAGGACTTTTGGAAACACCTTTGAGTTATTTCGTGGTGGAGCAAAGACCTACAAAGACCCAAAAACTGATATCAGGATAATCTATCAAGACAAACGAAGAAAAGCTAGTCGTCGCGAAGAAGAGATAATCTCGAAGTTCTCACTAGCACGAATGTCTCTGGCAGCGCATGAAAGTTATTTTAATGCTTATGCGCTCCGTATCGAATTCATGGATCGGCTTGGAGTAGATCCCAAGGTGTTGCGGAGATGTGTGAAGACAAGATCAAAAGATGTCTTCGACAACTACCCGCCATCGGACCTCGTCCAGCGTGCGCGAGAGGTTCTTCGATCCGAGTACGATGGTACCTTGGCTTTAACCCGGCTGAATTGCTTTGCCGTCCTTCGTCTTTGTCAGGATATATTGTTAGGGATCGCAGCTCGCTTCAAGGCACTCGGGACAGCAGCATGGCCACCAGAACCGCCACCCGAGATCAGCAAACTCGGGCTATTTGACACAAAAGAAGTCAATATCCAAAACGGCCTCTATTGCATCTACCTCACGATGCGGTGTGTTGACGGCGGGTGGGACGGCGGGTGGGACGGCAGCCTCAAGAATCAGGTCAGTCTCAAGCAGATCAAGGACGCCATGCTGGACCTGCCGCCAGTAGTCGTAATGCGAGACGTGGTCGCTGAAGTATGCGAGGGCAAAAATGTGGAGCACTTTCTGTGGAAGAATGTATGAGCAGCAGAGTGTGGGGTTCATTGCTGAAATGTTGTTGAGGCTGGAGGTGGCGAGGATAGGATAATTCTCGGTAGATTAGTCTAGAAGGCCGGGGATGCGCCGCAATGCGTCGATCTCCCAACCAGGGTCTTCGTAGCTCGAGGCGAGCGAAGTTGAGCCGGACGGGTCTCGGAGAGCCTCATTGCCGGTCGTCATCATACGCAGCAATACAATCGATCTCGCTTTCAACTGACTACGAAAAGACGTCCAAAAAAGCACGGCTAAAGGGTTTCTCAATCGTCACTACCGATCGCAGAGATTGACACGTTACCCCAGACTCCAGGTTTTGCTATTTCCGAGTGGTACCCACTGGCATGTACCTCGCCAAGCCTATCTCGACCAAGCCTACTCCTGCACGGATCGCTCACCGCCCCTGAAATTTCTGCTGGCGACGCCTCCTTTCTTCTTTTTCCCTTTTCGCCTTCGACTCAGGGCTGAGACCCACAACAACACCTCTTCCGCAGGCCCACTTTCGTTATATAAACAGCGTCCGTGTCTGTGTCCTGTCTTCTTCCCCGCATTCTCTCACGCACATACCTACCTCGCGCTGAACACTTTCATTCAATAGATTCTCTACGTTGATTACCAACAATCGTTTCATCATACGTGTCGAGATTCCACTCACCGGTACAACCGCATCGCCACTTGTCGCTACATAAACTTCACGTTTCGTCTCGACCCTCGTATTTTCGTAATACACACGTAAACCACCAAACCTCACCACCAAAACAACACACATCAATCAACATGTTCTCCCGCATCGCCACCCGCGCCGCCTTCGCTGGCAAGCGCATCGCCTTCACACCCGCCAGCATCCGCGCAAACTCGTCCAGCTCATCGAGCAGCGCAGCGCGCGTCATGGAGATGGCTGCACAGGCCGAGCGACCAAGTACGTCACCGCACCATCCTTTCCCCACCACTTCCCCACACTCTCTATAATCCCCGTACATGGGACTTGCGCACGCACTGTCCACCCACGTCACAATAAAGCAAACACAGCCGCATATACATCAAGGAAACATGTGCTGACGGTTTTGATAGCTGGCGCCGAAGCCGCCGTACCCATCATGTGGGCTGCAACCGGTGTTCTCACGTACGCGATGTGGAACCGTATGAGCGAGCGCAGTGCGGGCGAGAACGTGGAGAAGCTTCTCATCGTCTAGATTTCCCCTTTGGCGATTTCGCGGCGGATTTATTCGATACCCCCTCCCTCTTTCACACCCATCTTCGTCGAGCGATACGGCGATGACTGTCTCTACACATGTGTGTATATGCGATGCTGTTTGGGTATTTGATACTAGGCATAGAGATATAAACCGTGTGGTGTAGCATCGAGTATGTGTGTTCGGTTTGCGATTTGCGGCATATAGACTGTGTTTTTTTTCTTCTTCTTTTCTTCAAGGCTTGGAATAGGGTATTGACATGGCAATTTACATGGGAATCATGTATGCTTCGGCTTCGGAATGGCTGAGGCCAAGGGTATGGAACACGGACTTTGGATAATGGGTTGATGGCGTTTCAATCTCCGCTTCAATGCGCCTTTTTCTGGCTCAAAGCCTCTCTTTGACATTTGACGTGTTGCTCGATGATGTTGTGTCGCTGTGTGTTTTGGTTCGAAGAGATGCTTTGATCTTGGTCTTCTACTGCTTATATCATTTGACTTTGTCTCATTACATGGTATTCAGCTGAGCAGCCAGCCGCTGTGGCTGCATTAGCTTTCGATCACAGCAAATGTAGGCGAGGCCAAGGCCAGCTGAGAACCCCTTCCCGCCTTGATCGCACCCCGCTATCACGACTTTTACTTACAACCTCCACCGCTCAAGTCAATAACTCGTTCGTCTCGAGAAATGGATCCACCACCGGGGAATGGTTCTCTTTACACTACACTAGACACTTCTCGCGACGAGATTCGGCTTCTCGAAATCACATCAGTCGAGCCTGTAGTCTGCAAGCTTTCTATCGTCTCTCTCCTCGATGAGCCAGAGTTCTCCGCGCTGTCATACACCTGGGGTGATGCGAGTGTTACCGAACCCATTATCGTGGAAGGACAATCTATCGCTGTGACGACGAGTCTCACTCATGCCCTTAAAGCGGTTTACTTCCAATGGACAGAAGGCTGTTGTTCCGACGACAACTCTGGTCACAGGATTTGGGTTGATGCCGTTTGTATCAACCAGCCAGATATTCAAGAGAAGAACTCTCAGATACCGCTGATGTATAAGATTTACACAAGTGCGCAGCGAACCTTCTGCTGGGTTGGCCTACCGACACCGGAGTTGTTGGGCGCATTTGACATCTTCGCATACTTGATTCAAGAATTCGATTCCAGGTCGAAAAGTCAACAAGAAGGCGAGAACTTCATGCAAGGTATCGACGTCGACCTTGCGGCCTTGATACCTCCTATGAGCCATCTGTTCTACACTCAGTATTGGAGACGCATGTGGATCGTGCAGGAGGCCGTTTTGAGCAAAGAAGCTTTGCTAGTGTCGGGTACAAGAGCTCTTTCTCTAGCAGCAATCAGCTTTGTCAACAAATGGTTGGAAGTCTATGGCTTGCGACACGATGCAACGAGCGCTCCAGTGTCCGGAGATGAAGAGGTTCTGGCAATTGAAGCTACACGTGCCAAGGTTCGTGGGGGGAAGTATCTGGCCATGGCCAAGATTGAGAATGCAAAATCGTTTGTAGAAACCAGGGCAGCGTATTGGTCGGAAGAGACGGACATTATCTTTTGCCGCACTGGGATGCACATGTACAACAACTTCTCGACTTACGCTGCTACAAATCCAAAGGATCTCGTTTATGGGTTGATGGCCGTGTTAGGATTCACCTTGGCTATCGACTATTCTCCAGCAAAAACCGTTGCAGACGTGTATTGCGACTTCGTAGCGAAATGGCTGTCGACCTGTGGTCCAGAAAGTTATGAACTCAGCGGCGGTGATCTTTGGTTCCTCGCGCATGCTGGTATCGGTCATTCATGGGAGGTGATCCCAAGATTTCCTTCCTGGGCCCCTAATTTTGTCGCGATATCGAAGTTCGAAGAAGCTCAAGGTCGCATCTTTTGCCTGGTCGAAGATCGTTCTATCGAAGCATTTGGCGATCATCGCCTCATCCCGACATGCTCAGAAGGCAGCCTACACTGTGCCGCAGCCTTCGTCGATCAGATCGCGGACACTGGACCGGCCATCACCAAATATACTGGTATGAACGAACCTCCTGCCCAATGGACACAGTGGGCTGTCGAGGCATTAGTGCGGTCACCCATTCACCCAGAATCCCAGCGTCATCGTGCTTTTGGTTTGTTAGAAGCGATCATGCATATGAATGACTACTTGAAGAATGTTAAGCTTAAGCACACGAAAGATTTGGTGGACTCAACTACATACGGTTACCCGCAGCTCTTTCACTGGTTTCTTCTTCTCCTCTTCGAAGCTTGGAGAGTCAAGTATGAGAACGACGACGAGCACGCTTTCCATGCTGCATTCCGCACTGACCGCGTTTGGGATAGCGATGAATTCGACCCTCACGAGTTGGCTCGTTGGAGATTGATGCGTGCGACGCCGGAGCTCAGCAGCTGTTTACCGGGACACGGCCAAACGGTCCACGATTGGGTCACGGCTCTAGGGAAGCTTTCTGACCTTCGGCCGTTGGAGACAGAAGGCGGTTATTTTGGACTTTGTCCACCGCTTACGGAGAAAGGTGACATCGTTGCCGTGTTGTGCGGGTGCTCAAATCCCGTCGTATTGCGGAAGATGGGTGATCATTATTCTCACTTAGGAGTTTGTTATGTGTCGGAGTACATGAGTGGCGGAAAGAGAAGCGGTTTGAACGCTTCGTCGTTCGAAGCCAGGAAGATTGAGATCCGCTGATCCATTCATGTCTGTCGGATCTTATAAATGAGGAAGCTTGGTGCACTGCTTGTCACTTACTGTGAACCATCCAACACCAGGTAATCTGATCTCGTAGTACACTCTAGCTCTCTTTAGAAACCTTGTAGTACTGTTAACGCTTCTTCGCTCTAACGTCATCGCTCATGGTATGAGGACGCAGACACATATCCACTACGCCGTGCAAACAAAGAGCTATCAAAACCAATCAAAGATGGTTGTATCAGTGTAGGATAGGACATAGTATCAGCTCTCACCTAGATGGAGTCTTGTTGCATTTGCCCTCTAGATCCTTGGTCAATCTGTTCTCAGAATGGTCACTTGTGTACAAATATTCAAAACCCCTCTGGCAGGCAATGCTACTATCTTAATGATGTTCTAGTATTTGCTTCGTAGTTCTTCCTCCCCTTCCTCCTCTTCACATTGTTTTTCCTTTCCTCACAAAACACCCATACGAATGATTCACTGCCTCTCAGACCCGTTCTTTCTCTCTTCTTTGGAAATAGAAGGGGAGAAAAGATGTTTTCGCCTGCCTAGTCTTCCCGTCTTGATATGTCAACGTACAATAACCTCCCCAGCTCAAATTTCTAGAGACAGCGGGCTGTACAAGAGGATCTTCGGCATTGCTCTGCTACGAGGTACCGCTTCTGGCGGCTAGATGATGCACCAGCCTCCACATACATCTTCCATCTTTTCCAAGTAGCCAGTGAGAATCATTACTACATCTTCTATTCTTACAAACACGTAGATATCTACGTATATCCTTAGAGTATGTTACTAGTGGCGCTGACTTATTGGTGTGCTATAACTTCCAATGCGTGCGAGATATAAGCCACCCAAATAGTACCACATACATGTACCTGAAGATGCTTGTCTTCTTGCAAAGGGCAGGGTGCTCTCTCACTTCTGAACAGCAGTGTACAATCAGTGTGAGACATGTGAGTATTTCCAAGATACACAACCCATAGGCTCCCCCACAGAACATATCAAACCAAGAAAAGAAGAATGCTGTTTGAGAAAAGGTTGACACGTAACGCCGTTCAAATGCAAGATGAACAAAGCAGCGCCGCCGTCCCACCAGTGCTCTTCCCCTAAACCCCCAAATTGAACCCCATCTTAAATCCTTTATCTCGCCTTTTCAACGAAACAATCCATATACAAATATCCTACAAAACGACAACCAGATGGAAAAGAAAAGAGAAAAAAGTCATACACAGAGAATCTGAAAGAAAAGACCCCCCCCGTGTTCTGTCCCCAGACCAACAAAACACGCAGAGTAACAGTTCTCCCCAAATTACACCCTCACAGCAGCAGCTCGCGGACCCTCCTTCCTTGAATGCTGTTGTCCAAACTGCGGTTGCTGCTGCTGCTGCTGCTGTTGCCACCACTCATCATGCGACGGCTTTTTCCAAACATCATGGACGTCTCGTGGCACATAAGGCCTAGTAGTAGCATGATGAGAATGTGCCATTTGTCGGTGGGACAACCGCTGCTCATACCTCCTAACCTTATTATCAATCTCCCTGCCCTCTTGTTCAATCTCCTCGACCTCCTTGTCGTCCGCTTTCATCTTCGTCTTCGTCTTCGTCTTCGTCTTCTTCTTATTGCTACTAGTATCGTTTTTACTCGCCCCACCACTACTTTTCTTTTTGACCCAGGTAAGATTAGGACTGCTGCGGCCAGGAGTAGACGTCGTCGTTGTTGCTTTCATCTCTCTCATAATAACCCTCAACTCTTCATCGTCACTCGAAATCTGTGCTTTCAGATACGCCAAGCCCAGTTTATCAGCCTCGACTCCTTCTTTACCCTTAGTACTACTGTTACTCACACCACCCAGACTGGCCATGATGGGTGTACGCGGTATATAAGCATGTGTATACTTTTCTGGCCTCGGCAGCAGCATCTCGCCTCCTCGTTTTACTACTGCCTTGCCAGTATCAAGCCTCGCCTCATCCCCCTTTTCAAGCAAGCGCAAGATATCCAGGCTCTCCCCATGGGGTATAGCTTCCTTATTGCTCGGCGTGATACAATCCATATCCACCTCCTTCCTCAGCACCTTATCCACATCGACAGCGCTGAAATACGCACAACTCTGCGGTAACTCATTAATACCCATTTGCTGACTGAACATAGCTCTCGTCCACAGATTAGCCACTTGCAGCGCCATAGCCGCGCGGTATCTGTCCTCGTCTTTAACAAGATAACGAATCTCGTCGTGCACGGTGATAGCCAGGCGGGCATCGAGGCCATATCGGCGCGTGAGGTGGTCCATGGCAACGATGAGGAGATGGAGGTAATCGACGCCCGAGGATTGAATGGCCCAGTTGATGCGACTCGTCATGAAGCCGCCCTTTGTCAGGTAGCGGCGCTGCAGCGCTTCGGTAATGGCAGCGCCGAGGACAGGGGTCCGGGGACGTTCCTGCTCGGCAAAGTCTTCCAGTTTGTTGAACACGAAGCTTTCGGTGCCGCCGCGCCAAAAAGGCCGTTCGTGGAGTTGTTTGCGGTTCGTCTTCTTGCCTTTTGTGTTCTTGTACAGGGCCTCTGCCGTTTTGCTCGTCTGCTCGTCGCTCAGCGAAGGGTTGAACTGGCGTAACAGTGTCGAGGCAAACTTTAGGCCAGCGCCGTAGATGCGTCCGTAGTTGAATACCTTGGCGTCATTCCGACTTATCCCTAGTATGCCAGCCGTCCGGCTGTGCAAGTCTGTGCCCGCTGCCTTTGTCCCCTCGAGCGTCATGAAACCGACTGCGTTTCCGCCGTGCAACTGGAAAGTGGCATCGCCAATGAGGGATGCAATCCAGAGTTCCTGACTATCCACGTCGGCGCCAACGAAGCAGTAGCCTTCGGGCGCGCGTACCATGCTCTTCAACTCGGAACCGACACGATTCTTCTTTGCATTCGAGGCCGTGAGCCAGGTATTCTCGACGCTCCTCCGCGTAATGGTGCCCATGGGGATGATTTGCGGAAGGATAAAGCCTACCTTGCTCCCCCTCCCCTTGCCAGACGCAGATTGGAGCTTCGGCGCGTCAGGCACCTCCTTGTTGTACACGACCATTTGCGACATGATCCTGTCGCGGGCACTGATCCAGTACGAGCAAGATGCATTCATCTCGAGAGCTTCCTTTGCATATGTGTATTCAGACCCCAGCTTGCCCTTTTCGAAATACTGCAGATATCCCTTGGCAAGCGGATTCGCACATCGCGCTGCCGGCCCATCCTTGTGGGGAATCTTGTAGTACACAGCCTCTGTGTCGTCTCTGAGTTTCAAGTTTGTCTCTTCGTCCATGGAAATGGGGTTCAGTCCCTTGTCCGCATACGCAAATGCTTCGTCGCGGGGCACTTTGTACGTCCAGCCATGGACGTCACTCCATACAAGCGGATATCCATCCCACGCCAACTTGAGCAGAATGGGCGTGATGCGCGTGCGCACGGTCAAGGCCATGGGCGCATCATTCTTGGCAAAAAGGTCTTTGTACCACTTGGGCATACCAGGTTTCTTCTGTCTGGCAGCCGGCCTCGGAGGATCGCCTTTCTTCTTGCCTTTTACCATTTTGATCTCCTGGCCTGACCAGTCTAATTGACTCAGCCAAGGGTCGTTTTCGTAGACTTCTGGCTGCTCCTTCACCTCCAACGCCTTGTCCGTAAGCGCAACCAGTCGTTCTTTGACCGCGTCGTCGAGCTGATGATACGTTGACTCGGCATTGTGTAAATATGCGTCCCAAGTTTCGTTTACAGGCAGGATTTCTGCAGCGAGGAAACGCAGAGCGGCGAAGGAGACGGGGTGGGGACATGTTTCGAGGAATAGCGGAAAGACTTTTTGGTACACACGATGAGTGATTTCAACATCCTGGGCGCAATAATCTAGCAATTCGTCTAGTCTTCGCCGTATACCAGCGCGGTCTAGCTCGCCAAAGTATTCCCGCTGCGCCTTGTCCATTGTTATCCCACAGTGGAATTTAGCCACGTCGCGGAGCGAGTTTATGGCACTTCTGTTCATCCAAAGCTCTTCTTCGGGGTCAACTGAAGGGCTGTGGAGAAGGTCAGGTGGTAGTGTGGCGTTTTCCTCCGACGAAGCAATCTCATGCCTCGATTCCTGACTCTTTCTATTCTTCATCCAACTCGGGCGCTGTCTTGAGCACATGCCATTACTCGCAACATGCAGGCTCATTGTGTCGATGAAGGCGTTTTTGCTCTGCTTGATATGGTACTCCTCTGCTATCCGCGCCCTATCATACCCGATGTTGTGTCCAACTATGACGCGCGGCACACTTGTATCTCCCAACGGAATCAAGTGGCGATCTGACTTGGATTCGCCCAGCAACCACGGACTCAACCAAGCATACCACGCCGTAGGACTGGCTGCAGTTGCCATGCAAGCAAAGCTCGTCTCTTTCCACATGACCTCGGTATCGAAAAACAGCATTTCCTCGTCGGGCGCATCCACCTCTTGCGTACTCCCATCACTATTATACCTCGTCCACCCGCTCCTCGCGACCCATTCTCTTGGCCGCGGCGGCGGACTCGCCGAAAAAGCGAGTTTCCTGGCCATGCTGAGATAGGGTTCGGCGGCGTCCATGCCCAGTTTGTAGAAATGCTCGTCTAGACTGGTGCCCTGAAGTTCGGGGACATGGAAGGCAACCGGGGGCGATTGGTCCTGGTTCTTGCCGAGGAGGTCATGCCGGCGGAGGTGGTCGCGCGATAGGGCGACGAGTTCGGGGGGCGGGGAGGTGGATGCGCCGGGGAAGATTTGGGCGTGCATGTGCGAGGAGAGGTGTTGGACACCGATGGGAGAAAATCGGGCTTCTGAGGGGACACTCAGAGTGCCCCGAGGTGCCTTCTCATCGGCTGCATTGGGAGACTGGACCGTGGCCAGGCATCTTGGTCTGGAGGCGTTTGCGCATTTCCTGTGCGCATGGACTGGTCGCGGGCGGTGGATGGCGTTCGCAGCAAGATTCCGATACGAACAGCGCATCATCTGGTGATTACAGAACTATGCAGAGAGTGTCACTGCATGGTGCGGGGCAATGTTTGACTTGTGGTGGATTGAATCCAACTTTGGAATGACTGGTGTCGTCATGTTGGTGATGATTTCACATTATCGATAAGTCTTGGCGATGGGTTTCCCCTCTCAGCCCTACAGCCACGACCGGCTACTGCAACCGCCATGCATGTTTGTTCCAATGCAGCACGCCCAAGCCGGATGGCGGTCGCGGCTTTTGCTGTGTTACCCAACCGTGTCTGCCGCGTCTGCGGGCGCGGAAAGACTTTTGCCATGGTGAGCGGAACTTTGTCATGGTGAAGGGAAACGAAGGTACCTGAGCTTGCCCTTCGCGCTCCAGCCCGCCATCTCCGCTGCGCTTGCCACCACAATGTCCGACTACGACCACGACTCCCCCCAAGACGACTCCTCCTCCCGCTTCGACTTTGGCCATCTGTTCGGCGACTACAGCGCATCCGTCGACCATCAGGAAGAACCACTCAGCGAGGCCGTGTACCGCGCCCCACCCGTCCCTTACTCCACCGGCTTCTTCGACCACATCCTCAACCCAGCCGGCCTCGACCACGGCCGCTACTCACCCTTCGCTTGGCGTCCATACAGTCCCTTCACCGCAGAAACCATCATGCCGCCCACCACGCGCGCACGTCCACAAGCCTCGCGACCCGACCGTCTAGCGAATGGCTACGTTGACCTGACTAGCGCTCCCGATTCACCGCCGACAGGGACCGCGAGGAAGAGAGAATCACCCACTCCAGGCCCGTCGGCGAAGCGGCAGAAGCGGGGCGACGGGTCAGCGGCAGGAGTTGACGACAAGGTTGAGGAGGATGAGAAGGTTGAGAAGGTGGATGAGGTGGATCTGACGGAGCCGAGGAGCCCGCTGCAAGAGGCATTGCAGAAACAACAGGCCGATGCTGTCAAAGCGCAGGCCAAGCCAGAAGAGACAGTTACCACGTTCAACTCGTTTAATTGTGTCATCTGCATGGATAATCCTACCGATCTCACTGCTACTGCTTGTGGTGGGTTTCCTTTCGAATGCTACATCGAGTGCGCCTGCTAATTTAACAACTCCAGGCCACCTCTTCTGCCACACCTGCCTCATGGAAGCCCTCATCGCCGGCGAGAACCGTACCGGACCCCACGAAACGAAGCGCTCGCAATGTCCCGTCTGCCGAAAGAATATCAGCCGCAACAAAGCAACAGACGTCATACCTCTGCTGCTGAAGAAGGGCCTAGCGACACAGCCCAGGAAGAAAGTCGTTGCGTCAGCTGCTGCGCCTGCGCCTAAAGTAGCCTGATTGCAAATGGAGTTTGCCATGCCTATCTTCTGCAAATATTTCATGCGGGGACGACTATATACTAAGCCATCTTTTGGTCGGCTAAGAAACTGACTAAAGATATGCCAAAGGCGAGATCGGAGACACGATGCACGGAACGGGAGGACAACGACCGGGGGTGGATGTGAGGGACGGTAGGAGAATGGTTATGGACGATGGCAGAGGAGCATCATGGCATCATGGACATGACATGCTAGCATGACGCATCTATAGTACTGGAGATCTGGATTTGGAGAGCAAACGAGGGAGCAGGAGGGTATACGAACGTACGCGATGCTTCAGGAAATAATTCGATAAGTCGGCTGTCTGCGGACTTGCATACCGCACTAGCGCTGTGACGATGACGTAGTGCAATAATCTACATTGCAGATGGAAGACATGTTGAGCCATTAGGTATTCCAACACCATCCCTTATCTGCTTTCTCACATCCGCCTCAGCCCTTCATCGCCCACTACTATAGACACCCCATCGCCAACAATGTCAGACGCCAAACCTACTTCCTCCATTGCCATACTCGGCGCTGGCGATGTTGGCGCAACCATTGCGTATAGTCTCATCATGAACCCCGTCGCCGGCGACATTCTGCTCGTCGATCCCAAAGAAGAAGTCAGAGATGCACAGGTAATTCCAACCCCTTGAACTACGGCTGTTTCCAACTTGCTTCATACTTTCGACCCCGTCGCTTTACATTCATCCATTCACACTCACGCAAAATCTCAGGTAGCAGACCTTTCAGACGCAACCTTCCATGGAAACACCACTACGCGTGTAAGATCGGGGACGCACAAGGAAGCAGGACAGTGCGACATTGTCGTCATCGCAGCGGGCGCCAAGCAAAAAAAGGGCGAGAGCAGAACCGATCTCATCGGGCGCAACAAATCTATTTTGGAATCTGCAATCTCCGACATGAAGCCTTTCCGCGAGGATACCGTCTTGTTGCTCGTGGCCAATCCCGTCGACGTGCTTACCTACTTTGCCCAGCAGTACTGCGGATTGCCACGCAGCCAGGTCATTGGATCGGGCACGTTTCTCGATTCCGCGCGGCTGAGGGGTATTTTGGCGAAGAGGGCTGAGGTCGCGGCGAGTAGCATCGATGCCTATGTGCTGGGTGAACATGGGGAATCGCAGTTCGTTGCGTGGAGTCTAGCGAGTATTGGCGGTGTGCCTCTCTCGTCTGCTCTGTCTTCTCTTGATCGTGCAGCAGACAAGACGGCCATTGCAGACGAGACGAAGAACAAAGCCACGTCCATCATCGAGAACAAAGGTGCGACCAACTATGGTATCGGAGGCGTTGCAGCATCGATTTGTAAATCCATTCTCTTTGACGAGAAGATTGTGAGGCCGGTGAGCTACTACCAGGATGGACTGGGTGTGTGTCTTAGTATGCCGGCGGTTCTGGGTAGGGGTGGTGTTGTGAGGAGTGTGCCGATGCCGCTTGATGGTGAGGAGAAGAGGTTGTTGGAGGAGAGTGCCAAGACGCTCAAGGAGGTTATCAATGCCTGAGGATGAGATTGAGAGTATGTGGAGACTGCCGCGTTCTTTCGAGAGGTAGATATACAGATAACAATTGGAAGCGATCAACAAGTGTGAACCGCCTCGGCTAGCCCACCCCCGCATTCCAACAACTCGCATCTCATCTCCGTGCGACGACTCCACACCATCAGCTCATTATGCCGAAACCCCGAAACTACTCTTGATGGCTTCTGCGAGTTCATCGGCGCGTCCAACATCGAATGCACGGCAAAAACATGTCACTACTGCTTGTTTGAGCTGTCGTACGCGCAAGATCAAATGCGACGCTGCCAGCCCGTCATGCAGCAACTGTATTCTATATGCTCAACGATGCGTGTACCAACATGGCCTCGACAAGCGGAAAGTTCCCCTGAAGGAGCGACTGGTTGCTGCAGAAACATATGCAAGGCAGCTGGAGGAATTACTCCAGGCAAACGGGATCCCGCTTCCGAGCGAGAGGAATCTTTCAACCCCATGGGCGGCGCTCCCAGGTCCAGCGACCAATCTAGAGCACAACTTTGCCAGTCCAGTGCCCCCGTCCAACCGAGATCTTTCTGTGGCTCGAAAGACGCCGTCGATGACGCTTGACACTCCTCAGACTGACAGCTCTTCACCCCTGGTCGACCAGCTCACTGGTAGTCTGGGATCTCTCAGGCTTGCCGAGGACGGCCAGCTCAGGTTCTATGGCGCTACGTCCAATCTCCATTTACTCGTTTCGGGGACCCGCGCGACAACCAACACAAGAACAGCAGTGAGCCGGGTAGGGGTTCAAGCCACGCTGGACGCTGCCGGCGTTGGGCATCTCGTGGATGCAGAGCTCGAAGATCATCTCATCAAGCTGTACTTTTGTTGGGAGGACCCGAGTATCCATCTTGTGCAGGAAGACCTTTTCTATCGCGAGCGACTCAAGTGCAAATCGGGTGACTACGTGAGCAAGCTTTACTCCGAGGTGCTCGTCAACTCCATGTGCGCTGTCGGAGCATCGTTGACTTCCAGGCATTGCGTGGAGCTCCCCGAACCATTAGTTGACTTCTTTGCGTCGCGTGCGCGCGCACTGCTCGACGTGGAGTTGGACTCGCCCACATTATCGACGGTGCAGTCTCTTGCCATTTTGAGCGGGGTGGAATCGATTCGCACTCTCGATGCTCGTGGCTGGCTTTACAGCGGCATGGTAAGTTATAGCTGTAAGAAATACACGTAAGACATACACTGATTCCATACACGTACCCTTAGGCAGTACGGCTGGCCACCGATCTCGGCCTGCATCTTGACAATCAAGTTTATGTAGACGCTGGTATCATCGATGCGGAAGAGGCGAGTTTGCAGAGAGTAGTGTTTTGGGGTGCTTTCATCCATGAACGAATGTGGTCCTTGTATCTCGGTCGACCGGTTTCACTCGACGAGCATGCCATTACCACACCGCCTTGCGTTGCCAAGGTCGGCGAGCAAAAGCTGTGGCGACCCTACATTGACGAGTACGCGGACTTTGATTTCCCGGCTTTGGTCGATCCGATTGATGAATTGCACAGAAACAATGCAACGCTCTGCGCCAAGATGGCTCGTATCCGGGATACTCTGTATTCCGACTCTGTCGTCTCAGTGCTCGGTGCTCAGCAGCTTCACGACTTTGCTTCGGGTATGCGAGCCGAGCTTGCACAGTGGCACAAGGACTTGCCAGAATCTTTGAAAGTTGATCTGGCGTCGGTTTCATCCTTTTACGTCCCGCACGTGCTGCAACTTCACATGCAATACCACACCGTCATGATCATTGCCAATCGTCCATTTTTTACGGCCACTACGGCGAACCTGCCCGACGTTGCTTTCTCGGATCCGATGGTCGGCCCACCAACATGTACCGACTCAGCTAGAGCGATAGCCAAGCTACTTCAAATCTACCGAAGGCTATACAGCTTCCGACGCATCAACATCCAGGCAGTCCATCTCGTCTTCACGGCAAGCTTGATTCATGTGCTGAATGCCTGCGAGGCAGCGGCACCGTCCTTGAGGAATTCAGCGTGGAAGGACTTGGAAGTTTGCCAGCAAGCCCTTTGCGACTTATCAGAGGGCTATCATAGTGCGACGCGGGCCCGTGAAGTGGTCACTGGGATACAGAATGAACTCTTGCGAGCAAAGCGTGAGAGCATGAAGCGAAGTGCTGCACACGGAACAGGGTCGGAGAGCAACCCGACCCGAGCGAAGCGGCGTCGCTCATCTGCATGGGAGCAGCCTGCAGGACCAGTTGCGGATCATGGTCATGATGATACCATACTGGATCCAGCACTCAACGTCATCGACTCGATCTTCTGGTCGGAATGGACCAGATTAAGTTAAAGAGTGCAGCCAGACACACACGGTGGTATTACCTCTTGTTGAAGCCTCTTCCACGTTCTCAAAAGTAGATATAACAGGGCACCACAAGCCTCGAAAGACTCATTCCTAGGAAATATGCGAAGTAGGAGTAAAGCACCATCAGTATTCTTAGCCTTTGGCCTAACTCGACATTTGGCTAGCGCGTGGGATGGCTAGTATTTGAATACTGTCCGTCATGGTCGAAGCTGCCTCCAGTTGCTAACACTCGGCCCACACTTTGCTTTTGCGCGCTCTGTCCTCCCACGCGTTGCATCGAGTGTGGTCATGACGGACCGATATCACCAAACACCCTCTGCAACCGTACAAGCACGTAAATTGACACAGTTGCTACGTAGGGCTCTTCATCGCAAATGGAAAAAGCCAACCAATGCGCTACAAATTTGAGTCCACATCCAACGCAAGTCCGTGCCCTCCTTCAGCCTTTGGCTTGTGGTTTGGATTATCATAGCCCCAGTACTCGTAGTACTGATCCGCCGCGGGGAGCTCCTTGATACCCGGCTTGCCCACCTCCGGCATCTTCATGACCTCAACATACTTGTCCATGTCGATCGTGTTGGCCTTGCGCCACTCCGTCAAGCCCTCAAAGTCAACGCACTTCTTGTTAATCGACATATCGGGGAAGGGATACCCCTGCGTCTCTACCCAATGCAAAGGAATCAAATCGAGATTTGCGTTGCACTGGATGCTTTGGAGAAGGATGTCGATGCAGTGGTTGATGTGGATCTCGCGTTGCTTGACGGTGTGTGCCCGTGCCATGCTGAGGTTGTAATAGTCGCCGTATGCGATTCGCCGTAGGGAGTTCAGACAGTGGACTTGATGGTATACATCGAATATCGAGGCGTAAGCATCGTCTCCTAGACCCCAGACGTCGTCTTCCAGCTTTGCCGCTGTCGAGGGATCGACACCCATCTTCCTGAGCTCTTCGCGCGACACTGGGTAGATGCGCGTCAGTTCCCATTCTTCCCAGACAGCATCAGATTCGGGGTTGGGTTGTTTTCTTGCGATGGAGCCTCCGTCTCGCGGTGGAAAGAGCGTTCCGTTGATCTTCCTTGTTGTGGGCTTGAGATCGAACTCGGCCAACACAGGGCTGTATGGGGTGATTTGATGATAATCGCCGTTGAGTCCATGATCATGGCTGTAGTATGTTCTGGCAAAGAGCAAGACTGAGGCTACCAAAACGACCAGATTTAGCACTGTGATGACCACCGCAGCTTTCCAGGATACTTTCGTCTGCCCGCCACCCCGAACTGTTCGAGCCTTCTCTGCATCCAGGTCAGATGTATACTCCAGACTCTCATCTGACGCCAAGGTCTTGTAAGCGAAATTTGGGAACAAATGCATTGTGCCATACACTCGCGCAAGTGTGTTGTTAATTTGTGGTGAAGGTGGAAGGTTCCAAAGCCCGACCTCGGAGATTCCACGACTGCTACCCAGCAATAATGGACGGCACACTAGAATCGACCTATGCAGGCATTTACTGGCACCACTCACGCCAACTGGCTGTTCTAGTTGGTAGGTCGGCGGTCGTTCAAGTACCTTCCTTGTCGAGACAAACGGTGCGGGCTACAATGGCGACATCACACCACAAAATCGAGCAAGCCAACCTCCTCCTCCGAGGCTTGCTAGAATAAATCTTAGACCAAGTGAGGCATCCCATACTAACGCGTCATACAGCCCTGGACAGATAAGCATTTCTGGCGCCGGCCCGTTGCGATTGGCGAAGCTTGGCTCTGGCTCGGTCTGGGGAAGCTACGTCCTGCCTGATCAAGTTAGAACGAATACGAAAACTAGTCTTGACAGATACGCTATCATGGAGGCCTGGCATCTTTACATGCCTAATTGCTGGCCTTACCAACATGCCAATCAGGTGCTTGACCAAGCTGCTAATGCTGACTGTACTTTGCCGTGGATGGATACGTCCGCAGCATGGTATATAGCCTAAGCGACACCGCAGCCGACAGTGACAACGCGATTCCACCATCCTACCATCCATCGTTTGCCCCTCTCTGCTACCATCCTCTCAGTCATCGACATGCGTTTCACCAACATCACCCTTGGCCTCGTGGCTTTCCTTACCGCCTCGGCCGTCGCAGCCCCAACTGCTAGCACCAACGACATCGCCAAGCGCATGCCAACCCCCGAGCAGTTTGAAGCCCTTGCCCCAGAAGAGAAGCGTGAAGCCTACAAGGCCATCTATCGTGCGACAAACATTATTGGAAAATCTGATGCCGAGAAGCGGGCTTTCGAGAAAATCTATCGCGCCACCAACATTATCGGCGCGTCGGATGCGGAGAAGCGCGATGCTGACAAGGCGATTTACCGCCCTTTTGAGTTTCGGGTTACCGATGAGGAATAGGTTCGTTGTTCGGATATGGTTGGGTGTAAGATTAGATGAATATTCTGACCCGATCTAGATGAGCAGACTATGACTTGTGTAATGGAGTAACATGACGGAAACGTGTTCGACAATCTATCTATAATGAATTATTGTTCTTGTCAAATCTTCAAAGTAACGCCCAAAGCCACTCTCGACGTGCTTGTTGCTACATAACGCGCCAGTATCAATACGTTGCGGGCAAGATACTCAAGCGCCCACCGTCGGTCAGTAAGACATTGCCATTGATATACGCTCCAGCTCTGCTAGTGAGGAAGAGCAGTGCGCCCGCCATGTCTTTGATATCGCCCGCTCTTTGCTCGGGTATGAAGTCTCTCGGCCATTTATCCTGTGTGAGCATACCTGCAGTCATTTCACTAGGATACACTACAATCATCAGCAAACAAGTAAGACAAAACGGTTCTAGGACGATATCTCGACTTACGGCCAGGTGCAAGGACGTTCGAGCGGATATCATAAGGCACCAACGTCGTCGCTAATGCCTTCATTATATGCACTGCTGCCGCTTTAGAACCAGCATAGGCGTAACCAGCCATTGGCACACGATTGAAAGCACCAGCGCTGCTGATACATATGACCTGGCTTTTCTGCTCAACGTTTCCAGCCTTGTTGCCCTTGTCAAGCAGCTCGAGAAAAGCGACGACTGTGAAGAAGGCGGCCGTGGTGTTGAGCGCAAATGTCTGCGTGAAGTCGTTCATATCCCAATTCCAGAGGTGACTGCGGAATTCGGCCAACGACGCGCCTTTCTCCAAGCCCTTGAGAGTCGGGCCGGTGATGCCAGAGTTGGCTACGACAAGGTTGACGTAGCCGGATTTGGAAGCGATGTGGTCGACTGCTGCGGAGAGATCGGACTTGGATGTTACATCGGTTTGAAGGTAGTAGATATTTCCATGTTTCTATACATGGGGTCGTCAGTATATCTGTGGAGAGAGAGTTCCACATCTACATCAGTGCGGACACTGAGGCTATACATACCGCTGTGTTGGCTGCCTTCTCTAACACTTCTTGTCGTCGACCCAGGATATAGACAATCGCACCATTTGCCTCTAGTGCTTGCGCGATCATCAACCCAATGCCTGCTGGCCGTCAGCTAACCGTTGGTCCTGATCCGCACTATGTTCACCTGTTCCGCCACCCGTGATGACTGCCACGAGCCCATTCACGCTGAACAAAGTACCGCTGTCGAGATCCGCCATATCGTGTAAAACCTATATTAATCCGACGGATTCAAGCCGCTGGTTTCAGCCTTAAGTAGAGGATATGTTGCTTGCGCGAATGCTTGAGGTTTCGGGCGGAGATAGTAAAGCTCCGCAGGCTGACAATGACGTGCTCATGCTCACAGGTCGAAGTTGAGGTATGATTGCGCCGGTTGTACGGCCGGCGAATGCCCCGCCCTAACGCAATTGGGTTTGTAAAATGCCTGAGATTAGCCGCAATCAGTCACCAGAAGTTGTGCGATGTGATGATCGGGTCAGAGACGCAGCTTCAGTGCTCTTCCAGTGTCCATGCGTATGCGCGAGATCATTATATCCCACAGAGAGTTCGATAACTACTAGAGCTTGGAGTTGTCTGTCGACGGTCCCGCAGGCGCGATGCCATCTTCACAACGGTACCTGGGTTTTGAGATCGTCGTCGTGGAACAGCATTGTCCCAACAGGCAATATTGAGATTCTGCAACAGGTTCACTCAGCAGCATCTGTATCTAGGTAGGCTGGGCGATCGCGAAGGACGATATCGTGATAAGACCTCTCCTGGCGTAATTCGAATGGCTCGTCGCAATATATAATCTTAGTTGTGGAATTCCTGCGTCGCATCCGAAGAGAACATTGAAAGACTTGACACATTCATGTCAAAGGCCAGGTTGGAAGGACGAAAGGGTGCGAACCTCGGAAGCAACCCGCAGACGTGCTAGTACCGTGTGGGGTAATTAGCGGCATACCTCAATGGGCAAATGCGGGGGTCGTTGGCTAGTCGGACCAATGCAACACCGAGCTATCCCCCGTGAGAAGTAAACATGTTGGAAACACGTCTCCATTTCTGGGCACCTGCAGTATATAGTGCTCAAATACATTAGTGCGGCTCTGCAGCAAAAGGTAATTGCTTTATTCCTCCTCGACTTGCTTCCAAAGACTACGGCAACATGGTCCTCGCACCCATCGAACGTCTCCCCGTCGAGCTTCTGCAGCCCATCTTCATTGCCGCTGGCCATAGTATTGCGCTCATCGAAGCATCTACCTACATCGCAGCACGACTTTCATCTGAATACATTTATCACTCGACGTGTAACTACTACCTGACTGATGTGCGAGGCACACGCGCCGAGCTTTCGGCAGTACAAACCTACATCTTCGCCAGCAGATGGATGACATGGTCTTTCTTCAAGTCTTGGATCATGCGACGGTATGGTCTCGCTGGATGTCTCTGTGGACGGACGCCGAAAGAAGGCTGCTTCGATGCGCAGTGGCCGCCGAACTTTGAAGATACTTCGCAGATGCTGTTCTCTCGAAGTCACCTACCTCAGCTTTCTATAGTGAAAGGACGCATCCCAAAGAAGCTATTGTCAGGCCCCTGGACCCGGGATAAGATCGAGTTCCTGCGATTCTTGCTCTGGATCACTGCTATGACGGTCGATTGGATGAATCCAGAGACTGCGCAAGTGGCCATCGACGGCAGAAAGCAGGCCATGCTAGATCGAAATCTCGAGGCCGTGGAGCTGTTCAACCACAATCGTCGCTTGGGTAGACCTGCAGATTTGGGAACGGTACTGTTCGCTGTCATGCACGCTGGTTGCGACCGATCCATCGTATACGACACATTGCTCGCTGCAAATATGTGGTATGGAAGGAAGACTGCGCGATGTTCTGCCGAGCTTCACAAGTGGTGCCAGTCTCGGATAGCTAATGGCGATCCGAAAGGTCGATGGCTCCAGAAAAAGCTTTGGGAGTCTTGCATCCTTGATCACCGGGGGGACGCAGAGACCCGTGAACACATTCGGCAATATCTGGACCCTACAACCGAAGCTTACGAAGGAGGACCTGAAGATATGTTTACTACGCACAAGCTTCATTGGAACGAGGTATGTTCGTCTTTTTCCTCACTCGTCGGCTACATGCTACAGCTGGCTACTCTTTACGTGAACCGAATAAACCAAAGGCATTCGATCACTGGCCGCTAAAAAATGCAAAAAATACCATACCTTGTGATCAGCTACCATAGCGGCTCTTTTGGCACCACTCCCGGTATGACATCTCGAGCTAAGCAATTCACAGGTGAATCCGCACCGAGGATGGCTCATGGCGAGATCGACGGGTCAAGATTGCCAGACCATCAACCATAACATCAGATGGCCCGATGTCATTCGCTCACCGGGTTATCGTATGTACCGGGGTAATGTCTGCGCTCGTCGGCTACATTGCTGGGTCGAACATAATGGAGCTTCGCGAACCATCGAGCTCTGGCTTGCACCGCCCGCCTCCCGTAACATTCCTGCAGAAATTCTACGCCATCGTACCCAGTCCAAATAGACTCCCGGAGCTACTGGTATGATAAATCAGGCCATATTGGTGGCTGGCGTCAAACTCCTATCCCATTTTTGCTTGCTATCACTTGGTGTAAACTGAGATTTGATTCCAGAGTTATCGCTTGTTTGGATAGTTCGTTGTCATGCTGCATCGCGATAGCGACGGAAAGTACCTCCAGAGAGAAAGGTTAAGAGAGTACTGGTCACACCTGTAAGCGACGAGTCGCATATGTGGGGGCTGCCGTGAGAAGGCACGGCATCAGTTGCAGGATATATGGCTCGGCATGTGAGTTCCTCAGACAAAGAATCGTAAACACGAACAAGGTGAGTAGTTGATATCTACTCGTTCAACGAGCCAAGGGGGTGGGAAACGCTCCTATCTGTCTACGTGGGGCTTGGAAACTACAGCTTGCTCGTACTCTCACGGCCAACAAAACCATCAATAGGTCTAATCTTCACCATTACTGCTCCGTCTTGTCGTCCATCTATCATAAAGTCTTGATATTCGGCAAAGGCATCCCAACTCTGTAGCACAGCTTCGACTCGCATACTGTTCACTTCCTGATCTTCAACAACAGTGAATGCGGATACGCCTTTTACGCTCTTCATCACAATAGATGACATTTCGCGCCACCTCTCTTTGTCTTTGGTCGAAAGCTCAGGTTTCGAGGGGATGTTCATAAGGACGACAGCGGGATTTGATGAGACTGGTATCGGCATCCCTGAAGATTTTTTCACAATCACCTTTGAGTTGTGGACTTCCGGTGGTTGAGCGAGGACATCTCCAGTCGTGAATAGTTGAATCAGATCTTGGACGGGCTTGGCGGCCAAGTGCGTGTCGCTTGCTTCTTGATTCGCGTACCTGGTATGGTCAGCATCCGCAATTCTCAACATTGTTCTTCCAACCTACTCTTCGATCATGTATATCTCGGTGCCTGAGCTATCGTCTACCGGTAATGCGCACACATATTGTAGAACGTGTGGCTCATGTGGTATCGTGTATTCAATGATCTTGTGAAACGCATCGATGGCTTTCTGTCGCGCAATCGAGTTCTTGAAAACGAGTCTTGCAGTAGTGAGGATAGCTGTCATCATGTATCAGGTAATGCAGATGTATCAGCTACGACATGAATTGTTTATGGGCGTTCATGCTGTATGTATTTGAACCCCGCAAGTTCGGGATACCAGTTCCGAGTTTCGGAATAGCCGACCCGTACCTGTAGCGACTTACCAAGACTTCTCCACCTGAATACTTACATATCATGCATTTTGGACATAAAGAACTTGCGATAGAATCATCAGATCTGTGACCGTTGAGATGATGAGAAGCATAGGAATTGGAGTCATCCCACACGTCGGCACGTGGTTTCGCGTGTCTTGACGTCATCATCCGGCCATTCATGAACATCACTGAACGCGCTTCCTTCAGCTGACAATCTTCTGCCATCCGCAACTAACCATCCCATGTTCCTCCCCCACTACCTCCGCACGGTCAAGCCAACACTTACAGCTCCATGGCGCGCATATTCGTCGTTTAATCGCACAAGTTCCATCCCTTTCAACTTCTTCTCCGGCTTCGCAGTGGCAAACATGGCGTCCGCGTCCCTTGACACATCGCCCTTCTCGTCGACATCATACAAACCAAAGTATGATACCTGGCCGTACAATGACTCGGACTTCGTTCGCTACGATGAAAATGATGATGGCGTGTTCTACCGCCAACCGCGATTAGTTACGCACATCGATGATCCAAGCATAGCGCGATTGACGCAGTACTACGACACCGTGTTGCCGAAAACTGGGCGGATAATGGATATGTGCACGAGCTGGAAGAGCTTTTACCCGTCCTCGGTCAAGGAAGCGATACAGAAAAAGGACTTGGAGGTCTATGGTGTGGGGCTCAATGCGGAGGAGATGGCGCTGAATGGCGTGTTTATGGGCCCGGATCGCTGGCGCGTTATGGATCTGAACAAGCCGCCGCACGATGTACGTGCTGCGTGGGAAGGAGGACAGGATATGCAATTTGATGCAGTGACGTGTGTGGTAAGTATCGACTACTTGAATAAACCACTTGAGGTTTGTCGAAAGCTTCTGGAAGCTACGCATGAGGGTGGTATGTAACATCTATATCCTCCTGCACCCGAAGAAAATACTGATCTCATACCCCTTTCTTCCTTTAGGTACCGTTCACCTTGTCATAAGCAACCGCTGTTTCCCTAACAAGGTGGTCAGGAGGTGGATGATGCTTGATGAGCGGTCGAGACTAGAGTTTGTTGGCGATTACCTCCACTTCGAGGGCTGGAAAGATGTGGAGATTGTGGATCTCTGTGCGAAAGACGAGAGTGGGATGAGGATTACGGACGATCAAGGGACGGTGTTGTTAAGGAGTCCGTATCTACCGGATCATCTGGATCCACTGTGGGTTGTTAGGGCGAGGAAGGAGACTTCAGGGACAGCTAAATAGTAGTAGCCTAGATGCCGAGCTAAGCTTCCAGAGATTCATGAGTCCCGTATTCGTGCCAGTTGCTCAGCCGCAACATACTTGAATCGCATTGTCGGCTCATTTTAACCTTTTGTGAACCTCGACCCACTTCATACCAACTTTTTCGAATCCTTGTTGTATATCCAAGTGATACAAGCTGTTGTGACATCAGCGTGTGTGTCCCATCGCTCTGGTCTATGTTGATGATGTGCTTACGGAATGATGTGGACTGTTGAAGGTTGAGAGCATTCCCAGTCGCAGTAGAACGGTCTACCAAACTGTGTCACCACAAGTCTTGGGTACCATAGAGAATCATACATGCGGAGGACAGATGTCGGAGGCAATATAAAGTCCTTTATTGTCCTTAAGATCTTGACCAGATCGTCGTAATGATGGCGCAACTGAATGATAAGCATTTCGAACCGCTCAGAATCCAGAATCGTGTTATCAAGGTTGTTGTTTTCCAGACCTTCAGTACCTGTAGACTGGAGTTGGTTATTCGCGAGGAACATGCGTAGGTGAAAGTGTGCTAATTGGGACCACACAGCTCGCACAGCTTCCAGAAGACGACTTCTTTCGGAAGGAGATTCTGGGATCGGGTTCATCCCCATCTCCTTTCGCAAAATGATCCATGCTTCAATCATCTCAAGATGTATGACGCCTTCTATTTCTTCCATCCAAATAGCTGCTGCGTCAAGAAAGACGTTTTTGATCGGCCCCATGTAGTTGATCCTACTGAGATCTGTACCTTTCCGCACCTGCGAATCCTGAATTGCAGTACGGATCATAGCCTTCACTGCATCTTCGAAAACGTCGTGTACTGAACTCTCATAGCGAACAATCGGCCTATTCTCACGTTTTACCACGCCTTGGAGGGCATACACTTTGTCTCTAGGGTTCTCACATCCGCTCGTACCAAAGGCGTGAAGAAGACTTGGGTAAGTGAATTGCTTGTCAGATAAAGCATGTCGAGTAAGCCAGATCACCTGCGGCGGCACGGCCAGCGCCGCTTCCGGGTAAAGACGCTTCAGGCCTGATGAGCAGAACCGTCTCAATTCTTCCCAGGAAAGTAGTGTTTCACCGCATATGACGCGAATGTAGCGGGCCAGCATAATCTCTTGGACGATCCAGAGTCGAAGCCAGTAAGGACTTTCGAAGAAGCGTTGCAAGGCAGGTCCGGAAAGTTCGTTTTTTGAGCTCTCATCGCCGGAGGCAGAGGCAAATCCGTTGTCCTGATCCGCTACCTTATCGCGAGTCAGTTTTCTGCGGTTCCCTGGTCTTTTTGTCGCGGGGTCGTGATCGTAGTGGTGTCTGAAGCCGGATTTGATTGTCTTCATCGCCAATTCGATGCAGTTGTCAGACTTACCAAGCCACACATAGACGTAGCTTGCTCTTCGGTAGATATCCGACATCATTTCGACCTGGTGATTGCGTTCCTCGACAACCGACTGATCAATACAAATCTGATCGATCCACAGCCATTACGTCTCGTTTTCGTAGTTACTACAATCTTGAAATTGATATAGGCGTGCCCTAAATGCTTTCAGGAAATTGTAGAGGTTCTGTCGTACAAGGAAGGATTGGTTGTTCACCGCGATCTTTTGAACAGGATCTGGTGCACCCCAGGTGTATGATAGAGCCCGATACTCGGGCGTTTTGTTGGACTGGAGAGTGACACGCTTGAGTTTGCACTTGATTGGGCCATCGGCCTCGGGGACGATACAGATAAGACGGATCTCCCGCAAAAGGCGATTGACTGATTCGTGTACGAAGATGACTTCTGAGTCAGTCATGGCCGTTATTCAGCCGTCGGGTGGTCGAGACAAGGGTTGATCAAGACAGAAGCGGGGTGTGACCTGTTGTGATTGGCAAGATGCAGCATTATGTAAGCAAGGCTGAACATTGTTTTTCTTCCACTGCCATGCTGTCAAATTTTAGCACTAGGATATACATGGAGGTTAGGTTTAAGTAGAAGCAGTGTCGGGACCGCATGTGAAGCAGCGCTCGCTGATGATTGTACAGCTAGAGGGAAGCCTCAGAATAAGGTATATACACTTCTAAATTCTTCTCAACGCTGCGCTCGAGGCTAGTCCACTCTGCTTGTCCGAGCTCTCTCAGCATCGATTGGGCTCTAGCTCTTGGCTTTATAGTTGTCAAATCTTCTCCTTCCGAAAAGTCGTCGATGAATGATCTTGTCGGGTAGAGTTTCCTCAAAACAGATAGGATCTTGTTGAAGGTGAAAGGTTCAGCAAAAGCGAAGATTCGCTCATTCTTCACATGCGGCAAAATGGCCGCAGCAACATGTAAGAGAGCAACGTCTTCCACGTCAACGAACCATTCTTCACATCAGTCAGTGGTGTTCTGTCGGCTAGCAGGAAAACAACTTACGTGGGGGGAAGAGTCTCATGTGTTCGATTTTTCCCTCGAAAAGGTCAGGAATCCAATGAGCACTCGAGCGGTAACCCTGATTTACAGGATCAAGAACCCGTCCAAAGATCCCGTTTGGCAGAACGGCATTCGTAATGAAGCTCGGGTGATTCTCACTGCACCACTTCCACACCGCCTGCTCAGCTCGCGTCTTACTGGCAGCATAGGCATACCATGCTCTGTAGGGATCGTTCGTCGGGGGCTTGTAGGCCTCTTCAACTGCTCTTTCGTTCCATGTGTGCTCATCTAGGACCGCGTCGTTTCCAGCAAAAGGAGAGACAACCGCTGCAGATGACGAGGTGAATATGAATCGCTTGACAGTTGGTTCCTTAGCAGCAGGTTCCATTGCGCCTATTGCGGCGGCGACAGCGCCAGGAATGACATTGTCCGGATTCGGGTCAAAGGTCATGATTGTCGCAACGTGCACCACTGCGCTAACGCCTATAGTCATTTTCAGCAAGGAACTGCACAGGAGTGTGGGTTTTCTACCCTTGACTGCTTCTTCAAAAGCACCCTCGCGAGTAATGTCGGGAACAAGTGTAAGCTCGAATCTATCACTGCCATACCTCTTCTCAAGTAAGTCCACCAACCATGAAGACTTTTCTAGGTCCCGGACAGTACCGCGGACCTTCAAGCCGTGTTGGAGGAACTTATCGACGATATGTGACGCAAGATATCCATTTGCACCGGTGACAAGAACAGTACTCTCACCGCGAATGGCTGAAGTTGGAAGATCAGACATCTGGGACGGTTTCGGGGAACGGATCGCTTGTGTGTCCCTCTGTACGGGCCAAGAGGAAATAGGTGTTAGAAAATGGAGGGTGCCTTGCTTTACCAATACATAGTCATTGGCACCAGGTGTTTATACTTGTTATTGTCACAAATACCTAGCTCTATAGGGTTTCAGATTCAATTGTTCAGCGGACGAATTTTGGCGTTCACTACATAGGTGTTTCAGGGTAGTTAGCAGGGTTGTTGGTCTTTCCAATGTTCTTGTAGTTGTTGGCCAGGTTGCTCGGGATCTATTCCACGTCTAGTAAAGTATCGTGTTCGCACAGATGCTGGGCTCGAATGTCTGTGGGGCTACCCTACTGGCATGTTTACGTTGGCAATAACAAGGCCGCAAAGCCACCGAGAGCACTTTGCGTGAACGCCGTTCAGGTCCGGCACTCGTCCGAGACTGATGATCGTCCGAGCTGCTTGATTGCAAGTGTTTGATTCCTTGGCGCCAGCGCCCGATCTGGAAGACGAAGATGGAGCACTTCCGCTTTTATGGGGAGTCAGATCAATAGTGGCTCACAAAGGCGGTCGTAAATCTTGTCTTGGGCGCTTTCTGCCTACTGCCCAGGTGCCAAAAGGCGATGGCACGCTTTGATTGGGGAAGCAGGAAACTCTCAGTATAGAACCAAGCTAGGATCTATTCTGAGAGCTATGGCGCTGTACACCTTTCCGCTCGTAATTTATCGGGAGTGTACGCAGCACACTACTACATGCACGCCTCTGGTCGGAAAGACAGAGAATTCTGTAGGTGTTGAGAAAATGTACAAAGTGTACAACGGCGTTGACTTTAGGCGAAGGTGTACTCCCTCGCTTACACGTAGGTTGTTGCTTGCAAAACCAGAAACCAACTCTCCAATGTAGTTAGATAATCTCTAGAATGCTACGCGTGTTTTAATACAAATCGTTTCTCAGGATGATAGAGCAAATTAATATAATTCCAATAGTCTCTGCTACAACGTGTGACCGACCAGAATCTCTTGATGTTTGTCTTATGTCCAGTCGCTCCAGTGGCTGCCTTGCATATAGCTATAAGTGTCATCAACGTAGGGCAGGACATGCTGGGGACCCTCAAGACTAGGGAAGTAGCCTAATGCACAAGCATCGTATTTGATTTTATGCTGATCGGCATAGAATTCGTCGAAGTCCGGATTCATAGCCTCCCTAAGCGATTGCACATCGCCCCGTGGGTGGATCAAGGGCCAGGGCTTGGTGCAGGCCTCACCCTTGCACGACTTTGTGACCATGAGCAGGGCATCCAGGCGGGGCCAGAGCCTTTGGATGTCGAGATCGTTGCTAGTACCGTTGGTATTCCAGAGGTTGTTCATCTGTGACGGGTCGGTCTATATGTCGTTAATCATTTGTGCATTTTCATTCGAGCTGGTTTCTACGTGCCTTCATATCATAAAGCTCATGTTCACCAGTACACCAAACAGTATAGGACAGATCGTAGTCATTGGCCACGACGCGTAAGGACTTGTAAGTATTGTTTGCTCGAGGTACAGGCGAACCGTACATGCCTTCGTCCAAGTTCTCGCCCCAGAATTCGATATTGACGTGCTCATGGCGTGCGTTAGCATAGTCTTTCTCAGTAATCGGCATTGGAATTCCGTCAAATTGCTTGAGGAGAGGTATTCTTGCGAGAGAGAATAGAGTTGGTACGATGTCTGTGTGAGTGGTTGGCGAATCAACAGTCGCACCCTCTGGTACACCAGGGCCTCGAATAAACATCGGAACGCCGATATCTTCTTCTATCGCACAAGCCTTTCCAGGGGGTAGTCTGTGCTGACCGATGTGATATCCGTTATCGCTAGTGTAGATGACGTAAGTGTTGTCAAGAAGGCCCATGGCTTCCAATCTCTCGAACATAGCATCAACAAGATCATCTACTGCTGCTAAAGTAGCAAGGCGGAGACGATAATACTCGTCATTATACTCTACAACAGTGCTGTTCTGTTGTGGCAACTTCGCGATGAAGCTTGCACCACTAGTCTGTGCTCTTATTAGCGATATCACGCGTCGACGAGACATTAAGCATACCTTGTTTGGATTGAAGTTGTCAGTACGAGGTACCTTTACCCCTTGGTATAGATCTTTGTGGCGCAGTGCTGGTACTGGTGGGTTGAAGGTCGGCAAAGCACCTGGCGAAGCAGGTTGGACTGTTTCAGCATGTGGTCCGATGGGCATCACACCGAGAAAGAATGGAGCATCTGAAGACGCAGCATCTTCCAAGAACCCAAGGGCTTTCGATGAGATCAGATCTGTAGAATAATTACCAGGGTAGCTCCTAGGTGGATCTTGATTTCGCTGCAAGGTTGCATTGTTGTAGTTGTATGTGTAGGGATCAAGCAGAACTGAGATGGTTAGAAGTCATAATATGTCATCGTTCAAGGAACTTACAATCCGAACCAGTCCAGCCCTTGGGGAATGGCTTGTTCCAAGTTGAAGTACCATGAGCATTCATTAACTTTCCAGTGTAGTAGGTGTTATAGCCCGCTTGCTGGAGCCACACAGGCAGATAGCGGTCGTTGAGTCCTTCTTGGATGAACTTTGGGTAACCACCTATCGTAGACTTTGGATCAGTTTGATTCGCGAAGTGTTGTACAGGAATTACTTACCGAAGGGCGGCTGGATGTCAGTCACATTGGTGTTGTGACCAGCCATACCAGTCCAAAGAGAGACACGGGAGGGGCAACATTGCGCCATGGTGACAAAATGCTTGGAGTAGAAAGTTCCCTTGTCTCTAAAATGCTTCAGAACGGCAGGTTGATAATCCAGCGAGTTCAGATGTAGATCTTGATCGTCGGTCATGATCATGACGAAGTTTGGTCTCTTCGTTCTATTATGATATCCTTCTTGAGATGTCTGTGGAGGCTGGTATATCTGCGTCGCGAAGGCCTGTGCGATGATAGTGCTGCCGACAGCATACAGGATAACGTACGGACGCAACATCTTGGAAAACTCTTTTCGACTAGCTGTAATTGATCGTATTTTGTTCTAGCTAGAACACGAGGCAACATGGATTTGTACACAATGAGGATGCTTTGCATATGTATTGTTCCATTGTTGTGCGCGTCGTGTCTTTAACTTAGAGCAAGGCATTCTCGGAATGTGGGGACTAAGAAGATGGTGCGAGAGCGTTCTTCGCATCTTCTCATAGCGCCGATACTTGATGTGGAGCAAACCCGATGTACCCCAGATTTAGTCCAGATGGAAATAGCACTAACACCTATAACGGGTAGCCAATTAACAAATCCCCGAGTCTCGGCTACAAGTATCCTTATGATTCCTGATCTAAGTTCCGATGGCATTACACCGGAGCCTTTTATGACTCCGTGCGTGCAAGAGAGGTAGTATGCACGTCGTCTTCATATTAACCGGCGGTTAATCTTTGGGGAGATGTACGCGATTATCACAAGAGGCTACGCTTAGAGAGCCATTATATAGGTGCACTCGCAGTGATAAATGGGTCAGGGTTAGGGTGAGGTTGGGTTGCCTGGAGAGGTAATTACTAGGCTGTGTTGAAACCACATATCACCTGTCCTCCAAGTGACCCGACCTCAATCCAACGCCTACCCATTTACCAGCGGAATCTGGTGTCGAGGATATGCGTAGCAAAACACGGCCCGTGAAAATTACTGCTGATATCCACGCGTGAGGTCTAGTCTGAGCGAAGACACCCTCATCTTGCAAAGTTGCCGGACGACGTGCGTACCTCCTACTGACAACCAGATGACTCTGTATGTGTTGTGGGAAGACGGTTTTCATAGTGGCATTACTCTAGGCTGAGGACTTATTTTCTAGTTTAGAGGTCGTTCGTCGCTTGTATGATCTACTTGTGCATAACTTAAACCCTCAAACCTCCTCCATCCTCACACTCGAGTTCTTCTCTTCAGCTGATCCTACCTGTGTATCCTTGCGCTCTCGTGTTTCAGTACCTTCTCCAATTGCACCTCCATATCCACTTTCCAGGATTCTCTCCCGAACATCCTCCTTCGCGAATAAAACATCGATCTCCTCGAGACTCTTGCCTCCCGTCTCAAGACACATGAACCATACGAATGGCATCGCGAGCCAATTGAACACCAGCATCCAGATCCAAATCTTCCACCCAACTGCCTCGAGCGCAATTCCGCCCGCGAATACAGTAAGGAAGCTGAAGAGCCATTCTCCGAAGGCGCCAGCTGCACCACCGATGTGCCGTTGTTGGAGAGGTGCAATTTCAGGACCATAAAGCCAAGGGACACCGACCCAGCCATATCCGAACACCATATTCCAAACACAGATGATAGCCGCCGCGCCCCACTGTGTGCCGAGTGTAGGTCTTGGGAGGCCAATGAGTGCTACAAAGACCGTCATGAGAAGCGCGAGAACCAAGGCGGACCAGAACATTATGCTTTGACGGCCAAAACGCTCAATGGTTGCTGGGAGAAGATATGTGCCGAGGGCGAACATGGTGTTCATGACGGCTGACAGAAGTTGTGCGAGGAAGTCGGAAAGACCGACATTCTTGAAGATGACAGCAGAATAGTAAATTGACAAATTGATACCTGTGTTGACCTCTGTTAGCACCTCATCTCAGATATATAGTCGTTGATTCGAATTGCATACCCATCATCTGTTGGATTGAAAGCACAAGGAAGGATATCCTGATCCGTCTACCAACTCTCAAATCTGTGTTGTCCCAGAATAGGGTCCAGAGATTAAACTTCGTGCCTTCTTCTGCATCTGTTTCGAGCTCGATCGATTTCATGATCTCCTGCTTCATCCGATGGACATCCGAATGATCTAGAGGCTTGTTATGTAATTTGGCAAGCACATCATCTCCTTCTGCCTCACGACCCTTGGCATAGTACCATCTCGGCGTGTCCGGTAGAAAGAACATCACTGACCCTGAAGCCATCGCAAAGAAAGCCTGAAAAGCAATTGGAAATCGCCAAGAGACTTGATTCGTCATGCGCGTGAAGCCAAAGTCGATCCAATATGCGATTGGGATGCCGCTGATCAGCAATGCACAGGTGAACGCCACTTCTGGGCCACGTTCTCCCGCCTCGATAGACATTTCTGCCATATACGTGGGAACAGTGCAGGATATGAATCCAATTCCGAAGCCGCAAAGAATACGCCCTGCGATGATCTGCCCGACGGACCAAGAACTGGCTTGTATGACTGCACCCACAACAACGAACGCGTTACCGAGGAGAATGATGTTGCGACGACCGAGAGGCATGCCGATGATAGAGACGATGAGGCAACAGATGGTGGCGGCAAGGGTATACGAGGATGCAATCATTGGAATGACGTATGTGCCAGTAGGATACTGAAGGTATGTTAGCTGTTGAAAGCCGAAACATGTTGGATCACTGACGCCCATAGCTTTAAGAAAGGCATCGGTGCCTTGCACCCCACCCAAAACACCAGCATCATAGCTAGAAAATTCAGCATCCGCTTTGGCGTAGCCTTTGTCGAGGCAGTATTACCCGTAAAGCATGAAAGACTATGTTCACTTGTAAGTAAGAACGAAACAGAATGCAACACATCTTGCATACCACACCACAACTCATCCGCATCAAGCGGTACATAGTTCGTCCTTTGATGGATCCAAGCATTTTGATTGACAGATTACGTTTCGTAGATTGCGTTGGCTCGAGCAAAGCAGTACCACATCCTTTTCTTATACCTGAACACCCCATACCGGCATATCTCTGTTTTTGGTCTAGTACGAATCTGGGGTAATCGTTCAGTCCTGCATGGGACTAGCGCGTGTCAAGACTAGCGCGCATCCCCGCATTCTGATTAACGGGATTCAAATTCCGTGGGACTTGGAGAGCTGTGGCTTGAAATCCGCATCACCACGCAGAGGGGGGATGCTCATCCGTATTGATTATGTCTGGGATCCATGGAAATCAGGTAATTCGCGCAGCAGCGGGGTGGCGACCTGCTCGTAAGTGGTGGTTATGCAGATCTAGTTGCTTTTAAAAGCGCGCGAGACGTGCTCAGCTTGACGCGAGAGCGAACTGTTTGTTTTCACGTTCCCTCATCACCTTTCGTCTTTTGGCGCCCCATCCATGCAGGATGTCGTCTCCCAACGTAATTGTTATCGGCGCTGGACCGTCTGGTATTTCTATGGCGCATACGATGAAGCACAAGCTGGGGTTCACCGATTTCACCATTTATGAGAAGCTCGACGGAGTGGGCGGGACATGGCGCACAAACACGTATCCAGGTGTTGGCTGCGACGTGCCTACAATTCTGTACTCGTTTGCCTTCAACCTCAACACAAATTGGTCCAAGGAGTTGTGCGACGGCCCCGAGATCTTGGAGTACATGGAAGCCACCGTCGATAAGTTTGACTTGCGAAAGCACATGGAGTTCTCTATCGAGTGCTTGGGCGCGAACTGGAACGAAGAGACCAAGAAGTGGGATGTGCGCTTCAAGGATCTCAAGACAAAGATTGAATTTGTGCGCTGCGCTGCGGTCTTCATTTCCGCTGTCGGCGGCATCTCGTATCCCAGGGACGTCAAGTTTCCAGGGATGGAGAAATTTAAAGGGGCCATGTTCCACACAGCTCGTTGGGATCATTCATACAACTACGAAGGCAAGCGAATGGCCGTTATTGGAAACGGATGCTCAGCAGCGCAAGTCGTCCCCGCAGTGGTCAAGGATGTAGCGTCAATCAAACAGTATGCGAGGTCGGCGCAATGGTATCATGAGCGACCAAATCGGAACTTCAGCAAAGCTGAAACATGGGCGTTTCGCTATATTCCGCTATGGGAGAGATGGAAAAGATTGCAATTGTTTCTGGAGAACGATGATCTTGTCACGACGTACATGCCTGGTGCTGAAGCAACAACAAAGCGTGCCAAGGTCGAGGACCATGCAAAGCGCTACATTTTCTCACGGGCGCCGAAAAAGTATCACAATGTCTTGGTTCCAAACTTTCCGCTAGGTAAGGAATGCACAAACTCTCAAGCACCGGCCTTGCTAACAATTGATCTGTCAGGCTGCAAGCGTCGCATCTTCGACCCTAATTACCTCGACGCTCTCAATGAACCAAATTTGGAACTCCTACCTGAAGGAATCCAAGAGTTTGACGAGACAGGCATAGTCAGCGAGTCAGGAAGGAAGGAGGAGTTTGATGTCATAGTCCTAGCAACGGGCTTCCAAGTCCAGCGTTTCCTCACTCCAATGGAAGTCTTCGGTAAGGGGAAGAACCGATTGAACCAACAATGGAAAGAGCAGGGTGGCGCACAAGCTTACATGGGAACTTTCGTGCACGGCTTCCCCAACTTCGCTATTCTGTAAGCCTTCCGTTTTCGTCCTTTCGTCTTCACCAAAAACCTTGTCTGAATTGCTAACTGACGAGCACCCGAAAGATTCGGTCCCAACACTTTCCCAGCTCACAACTCCGCGCTCTTCGCGTGTGAAGTGCAGATCGAATTCGTCATGCGGAACCTTCTCGCTCCTCTGATCGATGGTAGATGCAGGGTCGTCGAAGTCAAAGCCACAGCCGAGAGCCAATGGGTCAATAGCATTCACAAGCAACTGTCAGGATCGGTTTTCCAGGCTGGCTGCTCGAACTGGTACATCAACGAACATGGCCGCAATGCTGCCAGTTGGCCAGGGTATGCGAGCACGTACTGGAAAGAGGCCTGCATTCCTCGATTCGGAGTATTCAAAACTGAGGGAGGGTCGTATTTTTGGTTTTTGAAGACTTTGAGTAGGTGGATTCGGACGGCCGGCTCCACCACATATGGTCTTGGTCTGCTGGCGATTGCTATAAGTCTGTGGAAGAGAAATGAAGGATTCCGTTCTGCTTTGATAGAAGTTTTCGGAGCTGCGACTGGTCGGTTTGCGCGTCTTGTGGGATAGGTGAGAATCCTATGCATGTAGATAGTCGGTCTGGAAGATGCAAGGCTGTTAGTGATGGTTGGAGCTTGTGTATTTACTACTATTCCCCTTGATGCGCAGACTGTGATCAGTGATAGAAGAGTTGCACACTGGCCTAGTCATGCGCGACAGGATCACAGCTTACTTCGTGCTTGATTGTACCTAGTAACCCATGGGTAGCCTGGGCCCATTGTCATATATACTTTCCGATTTGGAAACTAGTGTGTTGTGTCTCAGACCAGCCTACCATGAAGCCTCAACTTCAGAATCTGCACTTCGTGGTCGTCGAACCGCATATCCGTCCCCTCAGTCCGAAGCAAGACAGCACCCGACCTTCTTGTTGTAGAGTTCACCTAGTCGCTGTCATCACGTTGTCAACAGCGGCTCGAAGTAGAGCTTGGATATTCTTTACAACACGTGCATGGACTAAGTTGTGTGGTCGGTAATGCCAACGCCGATTGATCGAGGGATGCATACAGCCGAACTGCGTTCCCATGGGGCGGAATCCTAATCCCGCGCATGATCTACCAACTCTGTACATTGACCCCGCATCACGCTACGTCGTAAAGACGGAATGCCTGCTGATACGATATTTATAATGGTTGGTGAAGGTGACTGGGGATCTGGCTAAACATTTTGTACCGGAGACAGTTTCATATTCCCGCAGAACCATGTCGACGCCTAAAGTTGGTCGTTGTGTAGGCGAGTTCGCAAGGACATCAAGATCTAGGCTGCCTTGCATTTCAACCGGCAATGCTACCATGGCCTACAACCAACGAACTGTTTTTGAATCCCGCAATCTGTACACACAATACGCAAGACGAGGCTCTCTGGTGAGAGGTATCGCAAACATAGGTAAACCGTCCAACGTCTCTTCGAATACAACATCAGCATTTTTCAAGAACAAGGACAATGAAAGAAACAAACGACCGCTAAGCGAAAGAATGAGCCTCGTGGGTAAGACCACCGTCATCACGGGGGGTGCTCGCGGGATAGGTCTATCTTTGGTTGAAGCTGTTGCGGAGGCGGGTGGAGATGTGGCAGTTCTCGACGTGCTAGAGCAGCCGCAGACTGATTTGTCTACTCTTGGCATCAAAGCCAAGTACTATCGGTAAGATTTCACTCGCAAATGGAGTGGCGTTTCTAATCGCGATAGTACCGATGTAACCAAGATGGACGCTTTAGAAGAAACGTTTCGCCAGATCAAAAGTGACTTTGGGCGCATCGATAACTGGTAGGTCCTGTCTGGACAGAGTGTTGACTTGATGCTAAATCCGGAAGTGTCACTGCCGCAGGGATAGTGGCCGACAAGTCGTTCTTCGACCATTCTTGGGAAGAATGCGAGAAACTTCTCAAGGTCAATGTAAGCTTTCTCGATTGTAATTCTACCGTCTACTGACATTCAAAAGGTTCTTGGAACATTCTTCTGTGCACAGCTCGCCGCGAAAGCGATCAAAGACCAAGGCTCTGGTGGCAGCCTTGTGTTCATTGCTTCGATCGCATCCCACATAGCCCTTCCACTGCAACGGCTTCCCATGTATGGAGCAACCAAGGGTGCAGTGCGAGTGATGATGAAACAGCTGGCTGTTGAGCTGGCACCGCTCAAAATCCGTGTCAATACTGTCTCACCAGGATTCATCCGTACAGATATGACAGACCTCTGCGCAACGCAACAGCCAGAACTGTATTCTGTGTTTAGTTCCGCCCCGCCGATGGGACGGATTGGCGAGACGAGTGACATAACAGGCGCTGTGAACTACCTTCTGAGCGATGCATCCTCGTACACGACTGGGGCAGATATACCCATCACGGGTGGTTTGATCGCTGGACGGATTGCGAATTGAGACCGTACATAGCAACGTCTTGGGTTACTAGTTGCATTGATGTCGCACAACCCATCTGTATGTATCTCCTATAGTACTGGTCAGCCTAGCTTCATCCGAATGTCGTTTGAGTGCCACGCCGAGAGTTGTCCTATACGCGCTGTTAGTAGCCTGGATGCTGATCTAGTGCTCGATCCCGAATTCGATATCGAATTTGATAATTCCATGACCACCGCCGAAGTTCCAGAGGAGAATGGCATCCGAGAATGTTTGACCAGTGGCTCATTCTTGCTTGTGATTGCATTGTAAAATCATGGATAGCAGTGAGAGTCGGACATGGACAAGTTCGCCTTTGCAAAGGCCGGCAAATCTGATAGAGGCGAGGAAAAACGACCAGGAACTCTGCGCAATACAGCAAAACGACAGAACATACGCCAAGATTTGGTCTATACAAGAAGACCCGCCAGTCTTCCTTTATTCGGACCCTTCCTTCCGCTCCCTCTTCCGAATATGCACCTTTAGTGGCGGTTTCTCCCACAGTCCAAAAATCTTCTGCTTCTCCCACCCGTCCATGCCCTCTCCCAACTCCAAATCAAAATTCCACACCAACAACGCAATAATTAGCCTCATCTCCAAGAAGGCCAAATTCCTCCCAATACAATCCCGTCTACCGTAGGAAAACGGCTTATGCACATCGCGGCGATCGTCATGGAATGGCGAGGAGGGATCATTGTATTCCTCCGGTAGCCAGCGTTCTGGGTGAAAGGATAGTGGATCGTGGAAGTTGAGGGGGGAGTGGTATGCGGCAAGCTGATGAACGCCGACACGTGTCTGCAATTGTTAACAAATACCGCTTTCTTGAGTGAGAAGTAGCCGGGAGGGTGTAAGCTTTACCTCGGGAGGGATCAAGTGTCCAGCAACAGGGGTTGGCGGACCGTCGTTTGTGATCCGCAATAATGCCAAAGGAATCGACGGAAAAATACGCATCGCTTCATTCAAACAAGCCAACATATACGGACAGCGTGCGTTGACCTCCTTAAAGTTGATGTCTTCAGCCTTATCAAAGGCACTGCGGACCTCCTCCGTCACCTTCTTGTACGTCGCCGGGTTCTTCAAGAGGTAGTACGTGACCCCAAGAAGCACCGTAGCCGTCGTCTCCGAGCCCGCAACCATGAGTAAATCCGCATTATGCACCAGCTCCTCATCCGTCAACTCGTGTTCCTCGCCGCGGGAGCGCAAAATGAAGTCCATAAAGTCCCCTCGATCAGCCTGTTCTTTCCCCTTGATACGGCTCATGGCGAGCGATGCAGCATACTCCTGATGCTCCTTCCTCGACTGCTGCATCTTATTTCCTAGCACCAGATTGAACACACTCATCAACAAGGGAAACGACGTCGCCAGGACCAAAACAGGCATAATCCGTAACATGCGATCAATCTTCTCGATCCACGCATTCGACCGGCCCGTCTCCAGACCATCTAGCGACTTGCCGAAACAGAGATCGGCGATGAGATCGAACGTTGTGAGATTGTACCAACGCGCCATGTCGGCCGTCTTGCCACCACCACCAGCAGAAGAAGCCGCGCACTCGGAGAGACGCTGCATGAGCAGATCGATATACACCCTAACCAACCTCTCCTGCTGCGCCAATGCCTTTTCCGAAAACGCAGGCAACATGGCCCTGCGCATACGGAAGTGGTTGCTCGCGTCCGCCGCAATGACTTGATTCGGATTAACCGAGTTTGGCGGAAAATACTTGCGCAGCTCCGCGTGGCCGTGTCCGTAAATGTCCTTCCACGCACTGGGATGGATAAACGATAGCTCATTCACACCGTGCCGTACTACTTCGCCGTGCTTGCGGTGTTCCTCCGCCATCTGCAAGTCGAGGTCGCCGCGCATGTGGCGCAGGGTGCGGGTAAAGCCAAAGGCGATCCATAGCTTTGGGCCGGGATATTTGGCCAGAGGGTGGAAATACAGGTTATAGATTATGAGGGCGAGGCTTCTGAGGATATGGAAAAGGAGAGCGGTGCCCAGTATAATTGCGATGCCTCGTGGTGAGAGAAAGTTGAAAGAGCCGAGTTTCGCGACGACGGCTTGTAGGGCGCCTGCCATTTTACGGGGATCTTGTATGTTGATTAGCTTCTACAGAGCCGCTGCCAGATGTGTCGACCTTATATCCAAAGTTGGACTCGAATTGAAACGCATGTTGGGGTAAGCCGGCCACTAGCTAGTCGTGCGTATGCACTCGGGTTCGCACTTCGTACTCGCACTCGCAAAGCGTATGCACTGCCGATCTGTACCTCCACGTGCAAATCAGCTCGCAGCGACAGCCATCCAAGACTGTCTAGTGTCAGCAATGTGCATGGGCAAAAACTGATCTTCGTACGGTTGGGAAAAGCCATTCGAGATGGAATCTCCATGTTTCGTCCTGATGGCAATGGGTGCGTCTGAGTTCAAAGCAGTACAAGTCGTTCAAGCTGTTTGTACAGCAGGCTGGAGCAAGACAGTGGGTGCCGCAGCAGTAACAAGGGAGGCACCTAACGTTCACCTCGCACGATATGTCTTTTGGAGGAACTCGCGCTCATTCCATGC